GTAATGATGGTAATTTGACAGATCACCATTGGTATATGTGAATCGTATTAATTCCTTTCTGAGTGAATGGCAATTGTTGATCATACGAAATACAATATGATTTCAAATGTTATCCTTAGTAAAACAGATCTCCCAGCCACAAAATGAGAAGAATCTGCAGATAAGACAACATTCTATAGTTTCATAGGAGTAAAGTGACACATAAGAAAATGCAGTGTTCAGCTACATCTAAAATTTATATAATAATTTCAGACAGGTCACATACTTCCCTCATAAAAAATCCGCCAAACAATCTCTGCCTTTGGCGCTTCTTTCAACAATTAATTTTTATTGGCGTTGCAAAATTGTTTACATATTGAGTTTTTACAAAAAGGTTTCGTTCATTAAACATGCGTCAATGTGTGGCTTGTCAGCACTTGCATTCATTGTTTTTTTCATCATGCTGTGAGAACCTAGACCTTTCCTTTTTTCTTCAGCATTTTCAGGTTTTAGTTCGGTGGTTAGAAAGTAAGTTCTGTCCAGTTGCTCTTTCCTGTTATATTTGACCAATCGCCACGTGTATAAGCGGTCCATGCACTGATAATACCAGCGACAACAACTCCAATCGGTCCTCCAAAAATACCTCCCATGGTAGGCAAGAAAGTCATAAGTGCTGCAGTACGAGTGAAGTCTAAACGATTTGTATGAAGAAGTATGTTCATAGCCGAGTGTGATGCAAAAAAATCTATTTATGACCAAAAGCCACGTCTAGTGACAAATTTAACTGAAATGAAACTGTTGCGTTGAATGGCTACTGTGTGATTTCATTGAACTACTTTGTTTAATGCGTTTTTAGGACTAATAAACTTTGTTTTCATTCTTCATCCGTTCTAACATTAAGGAAATGCGTACTATTGTGCCATTCAGTTATTCCGAAAGCGGTTAATCCACCAACCAATCCACCAAGAGCTAGCCCTATTGGACCACAAAAAACGCCACCAACAAAACTGATAACAGCGCAAATTGAAGCGGTTTTCATAATATTTGGTGAACTCTGAATGTTAATGCCACGCTGTGAGTCAACTTGTACACTTCGAGTGGCTGGACCAGTGAATAATGTAATAATCCGACCATATGGTGAATGCCCATAAATGCTAAGCACAGTTTCACGCAACCAATTCCAAAATCCCATTTTTCACTGATCATTTGATTTGACTTGAAATATAACTGAGACAAATCTAACGTTTCAATCAGCCTACTGTGACACATATTTTCAAAACATTTTTTCATTTTTTTTTATTTGAGAATTTTAATGATTTTTTTTAACTTGATTGAAATTTTGAATAAAACTTTGACTGAAGAAATGTCAAAAATCTGCACATAACTTTCTATTGTCCAAAAATCATGCTGATTGCGTATGGTTTTTCGCCACTCGCTCCAATATTCATTGTACATTGTTCAGTTGAGATATCAACTGAATCGCCATCTTCTTTATGTTCATCATTTTGTGTGGCGTTCACATTCGTTTCCCTGCCGCATGTAGGATCGTTTCTTCTGGAAATTCTTGTTTGGCTGGAAACTTTTGATTCAATCAAACGATTTTGAGTTGAATCTTCTGAACGATTTAGTTTCACATGCAACTCCGATACCTTGAGCCTTAACTCATCGCGTATAAAAGAGAAGAAACTTTGGAAAACGGCTGTTTTTTTGTGCTCTTCCCATTGCTGCAACGTTGAAATATCCTCTTTTGGCAATTCCAACTTGTAAACAGTACCAAAAAGGTTCAACCAGTGGGTTTGAGTTTGTGGTATCCCCAAATTGTCTATAATTGCATCGCCAAGAGCTGTTGAACCTATTCAATTATTATGTTGAGTTTTAAAAACAAAATACTGATTGTTGAACAAACTGTATACTGATACTAATAGATCAAATCAAACATATTATACCCTAGAAACTGAAGAGGTTAAATTGCATTTTATGTATTTGACTCTTTCTCATATATTAGAATCAATCATTACATACCATTCGGGTATTGTGAAATTCCTTGAAGAAACAATTCAGCCAGAATAAGCCCGATGACAAAGCCATTCAAACCGCCAAACAAAAAACCAATGACACTAAATCCGGCACATACTAAAGCACCATTCACAAATTCTGGCTTATTTATCGCTTCTATCAACTTTATGATATACATATTAACAAGTTGGCTCTCCATCAATGACAAACACCCTTTGATTAAATCGATTGTTTTGTAGATCGATTCGTTCACTTTTCGCAGCAGTGATGTGAATATTTCGTTGGCATTGAGCTGTGAAATTAGATTTTGATTGAAAAGGGATAAAAATTCCTGTGCATCATATACTGTAAAACAGATCGAAAAATAAAAATTCAAACATATTTCAATCACCAAATCTTCAAGCTCCAGGTATGCGCATCGAACTTCAGTGATCGTTGCCTTGACTCTTGATAAAACTGCTGGGGAATTGGTTTCATTTTATTTCCTAAAATATTATGTAAATTTTGAAGAAAAGAAAAGTCAACTCACTAATACTCCATTGAGGGACAACATATATGAGCATACTAATAAGGCCAAAAGTCATATAAACTACTGCTCCGATGATGAAATATTTGGTTTTAATTAATTGTAGCAGAGTTTTCTTTGCATTCAATAGATTTCTTATTATTGCCATGAGCACTGGCTCAGCTGGAATTATAATGAATTGTGCATTGTTAAATCAACTGAAACCATAATATATATTCAAATATTTAGTTATAGCCAGAAACTTTAAGATAGAAAATAAAATTCGTTTTTCAAAATTCTCAACGACACCCTTACCAGTTGGCCATTTCCAAATTGCAATAGCAGACAATCCAAGTGTAAAACTGGTTCCAGCCCCAATTGCAGCACCCTTAAGTGTACGAGTTGATTTTAGATAATAATACAACATCTTGAAAGGAATTTGTGTCTCTGTTTTCGGCGCAAGGTCGGTCTTTACCGAAGAATCTGTGAATTTTTTTTGAAGCGATTCCACAGAAAAATTCAGTTTTGATCATGTTTAGCTTCATATAAATATGCTTTTCAGGTCAAAATATGCATATATGTAATATATTTACCGCGTTTCCGTTGATAAATTTTGTATGCAATCAAGCCAATTACGCTCACAATTATGCATAAAGCTGTTCTCTTGACGAAATGAGGTTTTGCCACGTAATTTGGAAGTTGTATCATAATATTATGCAGTTCTTTATGGGCCACTTCAATTGTTTTGTTTAAATATTCAGAAAGATGTATTATGATTGGAGACAAACATTCGTACGTCAATTTGACTTTTTGGTGAACTGTTAAAAGATTAAATTTACATTGAATTAACGTCGAAAATTGTTTCTATGTAAAACTATGGATATTTTTCACTTATGAGAAAAACCTGATTGAAAAATAAGTAAAAAGATCTTATTTGTCGGTGATTAGTTTACGGAACTTATTTCAAGTCATAGAAATTGATCACACAAGACAATTTACATTAAAGTAAAAATAAAATTTGTCACCTACCAATTTCCCAATTATAAATACCAAAAGTAACCAGTCCTACCAGCCCACAGATTCCAATGACAATGATGACAGCTCTCTTGATAACATGTGATGCAAGAGATTTTGTGGTTGTTCGTGAAATTTCGCCGATCATAGTCGTTAGCATTCTCCAGCGTAATGGATTGTGTTCTATCGCGTTTAGTTTATTATGATATTAATTCAAAGACAACTCTAAATTTACCAATTTTCTTACCGTAACAATTTAGATATGACCCCAGTATAGCTATACAAAGTATAAACATAGAAATTACGACTCCAAGGAAGTGTGGATGTTTCACCAACTCAACGACAAATGGTATACACGGGTATAGTGTCTTGTAGGCCGCTTCGAATGTTCCATAAACTAAATAATAATAAAAACAGATGAAAAATGTGGAAATTATGTATGAAAAAATGTTTCAAACTCTTTACCGATTTGCCAATCAGGCCAATAGTAGCCAATTAATCCCGAAACAAAAGTTGCGATGCAAAATACGACGTATTTCGCATTTTGAATGACCGGTTCAACTGTTCAATTTAACAAACAAATATGAGAAATGATGATTTTAAAATTTAGTGCACAATTTTCTTACGATATTTCAATTCAACAGCTGTGTATGCAATTAATTGGCCAAGCATTCCTCCAATTGCCACATCAACTCGACCTCCAAGAATGAAACATAGAAAACTCAGTACTGCACTTACTGTCGCTACTGTGATAAAATGTGGTAATTTCAAATTATGTACCAAACTTTGAGCATTTGAGCTGATTGTGTTGGGTAATTGAAAAGCTGTTGAAAGAAGATTATTTTTTTACTTTTGTTGGTCTAATCGAATTTTTCAAGAATGTGAAGCGAAGAATTGAAAATTATTCACCTTTCTGCCATTTAACCATTCCAAAAGCGGCTATTCCACCGAGAGCTAGCCCAATCGGACCACCGATAAGGACACCAACATAACTGAGGGCAACGAAAATTGAAGCGTTCTTCATAAAATCTGGTGCAGTTAGAATATCAATAGCTCGCTGTAAACCAAGTCGAGCATTCTGCGCAAATTCCGAGTTGCTGAATAGTGAAATAAGTCGATGATATGACGAATGGCCACACAATTGAACCAAATACTCTGTTAGAGAATGGAAAATTTCCATTTTTGACTGATAATTTGATTGAACTGATTTTAACTATAAGTTTGACTGTCATGAAACTAGTTTATATGGCTACTGCGCTTTCGTTTAGAAGTTTCAATTTTGTTGCATTTCTTTCCACTTTTTTCTTCGTTACTTCTTTTTGCTGGTTTTCTTCTTGCGACCAGAATCATACAATTATCACGATGAAATGAAGAAAGCATGTGAAATGGCTGTTGTGTTTGGTGACCAGAATATTAGTGTGTTCTGTATTTGCTATTGACCTTGTTCGATCGTATTAAAAGACATTTTTTTTATTCCTTCGTCGGTTATGCAAAAATAGGAACTAATATTTCTGGTGAATGACTTTATGGTTACATGGTTTGATTGTATTTTTGGTTCGTAGCATGCGATGTGTGAACAGCATCAATTTGAAGGATGCAACTTATTCAGTTTGAGCCTAGCTACATGACATGCAAACCAAAGACTGAAATTTGTTGTTAATTATTAACAAACACTTAATTTATTTGAACAAAATTGAAGCGTTGGGACCGTTTTTGTGGTTCCATTTTTGCAAATAAATTGACAAAGAGTTCATTCTCAACGCTGCGATTGATTCACATCGAACAGACCACATTAATACAATGAAGACAAATTCCATTCACCGTACTTTTTTGCCCGAAATGTGTGCCAATGAGCTTAGAAATCAAAGCGAAAATTACTTTCGATTGATTTACAAACGAATGCAAATTCTCACAGCAAAATACTGAATGAAAAATAAAGTGTTCAAACAATAAAACATTGACTTTACGAAGTCGATTTTTCTAAAATTGTTATGGTTCAAAATCAATTCAAATGGTCAGACTGTGATTAATAATCGAGAAGACAGTGTTCGCATTCGGGGGATTGTCGGGGCCTCTCACTTCAGAGAAAAACGCAATTTACACTTTGAAAATCAAAAACTGTCAACGCTGTGAAGCACAATGTTATTATATTCAACAGATCCAAAACTTTTCAGAGTTCTGTTTGTCCCTATCGGAAGTTCACTAACATGAATCATGAATGATGTTTGAATTGCCATTTTTGACGAAAACCATTTCCAATATTTGGGTAAACCTTGTGACGAAATCATTTAATCAAATTTCGCCCAGTAGATTTGACAATTCAAATTTTTGTAACCATAAATGTTATCTACCGTATAGATGCCGCTAGAGCATCATTTGCTGAATATCTTCCATTTACGATTCATGTTGTTGGAAACTGTATAATATAATAATTTTTTGAGGACATCTATGATTTCAAAAATGATAGATAAACATTTTTCAACCTAGGTGGCACTATATTAAAGACAAATGAACTATTTGTCGGGAGTTCAAATCCCAAAACCTCAAAACCTGACAATTATCTACAGTTTTTCTGGATTTTCTCGAGAAGAGTGCAACCAAAAATTTCGGTAGTATTATTTCTTGAAAGCGCACGTCGCCTACAACAAAATCTTATTTGGTATATTTGTTACGAACACTGGTGATTATTCCGCCAAGCAAAGTAAATGAAAAAATTATTCAAATTCATCAAAAGGTCAAGTAAAAAACGTTAGCCGACAAGTCGGTTATAAATAGATGAACAAATGAAACAAATAAAAAAAAAAACATTTATTTTGCAAGGAATTGACTTTATTGTCAATTAATAATATTGTTGGCTGATATTTGATTTATTGAAATGAACTGTTTTTCATATTACGTTTGTTTATTCATTTTTTTTTCTTTTTTATTCTTGGTTCAATTTTAAACTTTGGTGAAGACCAAGTCAGAAATCCAGGTATTCAGGCTACGTTGGCCGAAGGTTGGATTTTCATGAAATTGAATCTTAGTCCCATCTTTCATTTCCACCATTGTGTGACATTGTGAGAAGTAGCAGAACATATCGCGTGATCCCAATTTAACTCCCAAACGAACTTCATACATATGTTGAGGCTTAATCCGAATCGGATGTGACAAAGTGACTTTCAACCGTTCCATATCATCACCAAGACATGTACTGCCTTCATAAAGAACTTTAGGCGACACAGTTGATTGAAATGCAAGGCCCTCGCGTTCGTTGATAGTTACACTGATCTCAGTTCCGACTATTTTAGATGAATAGTGGCGTGTGCTTGCGCTTTGAATCTCCCCCAACAGTACGTGATTATTCGACGAAAACGTAGCTACTTCTAGAGTTTCTAAGTACTTTGCAGATATTTCAGATCCAGTATTCCGTCGACAATGCAAAACATCAGGGCCGTAGCCAGGATTTTTCCTAGGAAAGTGTGGTTCCACTTTA